TCTTCTTTTAAAAATGAACATGAACATTCATATAGCCTAGACATTAGCTAATTCACATTTTGAGACTGTTCACATATACTCACTTTTGATGTATTTTTTGAGCTAAGAAATTAACTGCATGAATTTGGAAAAGGGGAAATAATGAATGAAAAGTGTTCTTTCCTGTATTGATTAGTATCGTCAGAAATCAACACAGAAAACAAGGCCATTCAATCTCCATATTCTACAAAGCACAGGAAGAAATTGCCTGCCAGATCACTGAAATAAATCTCAAGTGCTCGCTGAAAACCAACAAGATCCATTAGGTGACTGGGGAAAACTATTTTAATCACACTGTCACCTTTGCAGAGGTCTAGGATATTGACAAAGCAAATGTAATCTAGAAAGTAAGCTAACATGGCAAAGGGCAGGTGAGAATATATTTCATCACCATTGCTCCAAAATAAAACACAGGTCCAACTTATGATAATGTATGTCAGTTGAGCTAGAGACGAATAGCTTGTCCCCAGTTGCTTGTCTCCAGTTTCCATAGTATCAGCAGCACTCCAGCAATGACAATTTAGCATTAATATGCACCACTCTCTGCTGGCCCTGAATAAACAGACTACTTCTACTTCTACTACTGCTACTTCTACTTGTTCTGGCCTTCCACAGTCCAGTTACAGCTGCAGCAACAAAAGTGGCATTAGCTACAGTAATAAAGGTAACAGAGTCACCTTTACCTCCTCACTGCCTTCACTACTACAAACATTGGCTGGCCAAATGCTAGCTTTTACTCCTTCATTGACAGTCAGATTCATTGCCGATCACATCTCAAATCTTTGATTCATATCAAGAATTCCTTTATTCCATTCTCAATGCTTCTTCAATCCTGCTCTCATCTTTTAGTCCTATGTATATTATCCCCCACACATCCTCATCACATTAGTGAACTTTCATTCATCTTCTCCAATATTACCTTCAATAATCCAGCAGCCTAACTGCATTCTTTCAAAATCCTGTTCCAATGAAGCAAGTTTAATTTTATACAGTTTATTGATTACTGCCCAGATTCCAACTAACTCTGGATGATGTACACTAATATCAATAAAATAAAAACAGAATACAATAATTACAAAAGGATAAACAGATGGCAAATCCAGCTAACCTCACCCACTGACAGTTCTTTCCATACCAGCATTAAACTCTCTGTATGCTTTAAAACAGACCTACAAGTTGGTGTGTGTGTGTGTGTGTGTGTGCACGCACATTGTGTGTGTTTGCATGTATGTCTGTGTATCTGAGTATGTATATACATGTATGTATGATTTATATATTTTGTACAACTAGCGGCAATGTCCATAATGATCCCTTCTCTTATTTTCCAACAGAAATCGCATGTTAATTTAGTTGGGCTGAAAAAGAGTGACTGCCTCAAAGTCACCCAACCAGCTTCCATGCCTTAGAGAAAACTGAAACCCATGCTTTTTCAGTTTCAAGCCCAACATGGCAACCATTGCACTTGATTCTCTTTCTGTATGTGCAGTGATGTTTGAGTGACAGAGCAAGAGAAAATATTTATGTGTCTACCATCATGAATAATAATCAATTGTTTCTGTGCTCCAGAATTAGTCCTTTCAACTATCCAGAGTTTTAATAGAAGAAAATAGATGTACTTCAAGGTTGAACTGTATTGTTTAGTGCTCTCTGAGATTTGTTATTTACTTACAGATGTAACATCATTATTGTGATGATTCAACACTTTCTTAATTTGCCATAGCCAATTGTTTGAAGGTAGGGTAAAACTATCAACCTGCCTGGGATTCTTAATGAAAAGTCTCTGAGATAGCAAATACACAAGGCATTAATGACATTCAGATTCCTGAAACTAATGGGATAATTTTGAAAATTGAAATATAGTGTCAGAGTGCGCACAGTGTGAGTAGGTGAGACAATCCAGAAGAAAATACAGTACACAGAGGTTTGTAATAATAAACAGGTTTATCTCTACAAAAGAATATACATATATGTACCGGGCAAAGGTCAAACAATCAATCAGAAATCAGCTACAGCAGCACGGAAGCACATACCACACACGGAGAGAGAAATATACCCCAACAGGGCCTCTCTTATAGTACAGCCTCGTAATAATCTTGCTGACTCATTCCTCATCATTGCATCATCATTATAGCATTACAGTATTACAACATTACAGCAGCAGGTCAGCTATTAAGTCATCATTACACTGACATATACCATGTAGAGGGTATAGACCAGTGATGGCTAACCTTTTCCACATTGCATGCCAAAAGTGTGTGCCTGTGCATACATGCTTGCTTGCATGCATGCACCCATGATGCAATGCATGTGTGATTCCCCCGCCCTCTGTGCATATGCGTGCAACCCCTGTGCATTAACCACATGCCTCTGCACATGCATGTACAGACACCCCGCACTGCACACCTCTGCATATGTGCATGTATCCCCCACATGCACATCTCCTCCTGTGCATGCACGGCAGGTACCCAACAATCAGCTGGCTGGCGGAGGGCACGCACGCATGCGCAGTGGGGTTCTTCCGGGCGACCTCTTGCATGCCAGCAGAAATGGCTCTGCATGCCACTTCCAGCACGCATGCCATAGGTTTGCTGTCACTGCTATAGACATAGATATTGTAGAAAAAAAGTTTGACATATATGCTATACTTCACATGTTGGCATCAACAACTTAGTATCAACATAAGCTTTCTAAAATTATGATTGCGCAACTTCTGTAAATGTGAGACAACTTGCAAATATTCCTTTTTAGGCTTTTATAAGTGATTTGACATTGACACTGGCATTGTCTCGACATAAATTCTAGTGGTCTATTCAGAATATTTATTTCTTCTTCCCCATGCCTTAAATTATGATGCGGATGCAGGCTTGAATTATAATACTGATTTAATTTGGGCAGACTATTTAATTCAAAGTCCTGTTTCAATATTTGGATCAAAGAGATCCAAATTGCTGTTCCAACTTGATATTTCCGCAGGAAACGTGTCCAGTTTACAAATAGTCCTTGGATTATGACAACTCATTCAGCAAACATTCTGCAATGGCACTGAACAAAAGGGACCTCTTACCTCTCTATGTCTCTGTGATCATATAATCACAATCAGTCACTTGGCAGCTGGATTACAATTATGCACAAGAAAATTCAGTGGGAAAGCTAGGAGTAATTGCAAATTGCTCCTGCTCTCACAACTTTTTTAATGATCCACCCATGCACCATTGTGCTTGCCATTGGCATTTGTACACCTGCCCACACTCCATAGCATAGGCTGCAAAGATCCACACACCTGCCTATGCTCAATAACATGTGCCTATGGCACTTACTTGCCCATAACTCTCACCAACAGCTCTCATTTATTGGCTTGAACCTCTCACTTCTTCTGATGTCATTGTCAAATGAAATCTTTGGTCAATGACCCATGCATTGGGGTAAGACAGCAGCCAGGAGTGCCAAGTGTTGATGTAACATCATTCTTTGCAACTGCATCATTTAATGACAGAAATTCTAGTCCTAATTGCTGTCCTCACCTCAGGACTAACTATAATGATTTATTTCAAAAGAGTGTTTGAATCAAGTTTCTGGAATTGAAGTGCCATACATAGTCATACATTTTAGTGTTTCTGTAATAACCATTTCAGTGGAGAGAATCAACTACATACAACTCTAGCAATATGTGTACAGCACAAGGATCTATACCAATATAAGTAAAACAAAAACAAACAAGAACCATTGAACTAGATCTTGCATTAAGGTGCTTTATCTCAGGTGACTGGTCTTAGATGAAAACTGTATTATCTGGTGAAATGAGGTGCTGTTTAAAAGAATCATGGAATATATAATTTTAAAGGGACTTCAGAGATCCTTCAGACCAACTCCCTATATGGTTCAGTAATCCTCAACTATATTATCTCTGACAAATCTGGCATCTGTTTAAATAGTTTAGTAAAGACTAGCAGATCTTGCTGTTAAGAATGTTTTCTGATGTCTAGATTTTTTCTGAAATCTGCATGTTAGTCATTTTGATATCCTTCTATTTTGCCTTGTCACCTGAAACAACTCTTAAGTTATTCTACTCCACATTCTACATGGCAGCTTGAAGATAATTATGTATCTATACATGCCCATTCTTTGTAATTTCTCCTTTCCAAAACCTTACGATATTAGTTTCCTTCCTCTGGATATTCTGAAGTGTGATAACATCCTTCCTAAAATGCATGCCCAGAACTGGACTAAGTATTCTAACTACAGCCTGTAATTGATGGAGTAGAGTCAGTAGCTACAGTAATAATCAATAGGTTATAATTATTAGCTTACAGATAGTGACAGCTTTTTAAAAAATTATGCTTCTGCTTGCAATTTTATAGCATTTTAAACAAATAGATATCAAAATCTATCTGAATAGATTCTTTAGGTAACCAGCTGTTGCCAAATTGTGAAGAAAATTATAGTGAGCCTTCATGTTGTATTAGAGAAATGATGATTGTACTGTTGTTTATTCCCTAGCTTGTCGATTGAAATTATACCTTCTCTTTAATATAGATATTATTACCCCTGAGAAAACTATTCTAATATTTATGGATGAATATTTGAGAAGGAGAGGAAGAGATAGAGCTTTTCTTCTTCCCTATTGGTGTTCATTCTGCATAGGAAGTGAATCCTAATAAAATCCCTAGGAACAAATCTACCTAGTTATTTCTTCCAGTTGCTGAAATGTATTTTATAACAGCATATACTTGGGAAAAAAATTAAACATGCATACAGTATGTGGCTAAATCACACAGTACTTAATCAAATCTTGTATGTATTATTTTTACACTTTTTATGCAAAAGGGAATTCTGAAATAAGTATTGTATGCTATATCCATAAAAGTGTAACAGGATCATTAAAGTTTAAAATATAGCAATATTCATTTGTTTTGCTTCATCATCTTCCAAACTTTATTCTTTCCTTTTCTTTTGTTCTTTAGATTTGTGATAAAGAATGGCACTACTATGTTGTCAACGTTGAGTTCCCAGTAGCTACCTTGTATATGGATGGTACAACATATGAACCTTACCTTGTAACTAATGACTGGCCTATTCATCCATCACACATAGCAATGCAACTCACTGTTGGTGCCTGTTGGCAAGGTAATTATATTAATTTGAATGCATAAATTGAAATTTCGCTGTATTGATATTTCTATTAAATAGAGGGTTGTATTTAATGAAATCATAGTTTAAACAATGCCACCTGAAGAATGTTCTCTGAGAAGAACTGCATTTAGACCTTCTTAAATTTTGATGTAAAAATGCAGGCAATACACATGCAAAAAAGTAATTTAATTTAATTTTTAGAATACAAGCATTTATTGAATAATTTAGATATTCTCTGTGCAGCAAGAAAATAGAACTTTATTATTCAAATCTACATAGCCACTCATTTCACACACACACACACTCTATGTATGTGTGTGTGTGTGTGTGTCTACTCCTTCAGATCAATTCTTCCAATAATCTACAAATTCCCAGACATTTTCTGATTTAGTCCATTTATTCACACCTGGAATTAGAAATTATGTTTCATACACTATGCTGTCTTGCAAATGATTAAAAATTACTTAACTAAAAAGTGTTGCCCTGTTCCACTCCAAATATCCAATTAACTAGTTATGTTTTATTTTGATTCATTTTCCATTCTTTTCTTTTACTACTACCGATATTACATCATTAATTAAGTAGCTTGATGATCCTCTTTCATTGATTTCTTTCACTTAGTTCATGTACTGTGATTTGTTTGGCGTTAGCTTAGTGTGACTTAATAGTTTGTAATTTAAGAAGATATATATGAACCGTGAAATCATGCACTGTACTACCTAAAGTGTGGGGCTCATTATAGCTTTTTTATGTTGAATTTTATTTATATACACATAACATTTCACTATGAAATAATTGTTCTTAAAGAAATAAAGTCTACCTTTATGTGCACCTTCCACAATCAGACTCTGTATATGTGTTGGGATTGCAATATCCGGAATTTCTATCCAGCTTAATTTTCAACCATTTTCTTTTGGCAATCCTAAATCATATGAAGAATATTATATTATAAAAAGCTATTAAAACATTATTAATTCCTATTCTATTGTATGATGGTGGTGGTGATATTGATGATATTTGGTTTATGACTATAGCCTTACATTCATTCCATTTTCCTCTCATGCTTCAAGAAGTCAGCTAATTAGAAATTAAGTGCTGGACAATCATGCATCATAATTATAAGTTATTAAGTCTTAGGTCTCATAGCTGTTATTTATTCTGAAGTGATACCACCTCCAGCTTGAACTTCTGGTCAAGCATATGCAAAGAAAAATGTGTCTGGATAGACAGAAAGCATTTTGAATTTTCCTTTAATTGTCCTCACTTCTGCCATCTTCAGGAAAAAATATTGTAAATCAATCTATGCTTGTCCATCTGAACCATAGGAAAGTATTCTCTTGACTGAGCTTTGAAAGATCCTTGATAAGTAATAAAAACTCTCTTGACCCACTGCACAAAAAAAGGGAATTGAGGGAGTTGATATCTCAAACTTGATTGGCAATTGGAATTCCTAGCCCTAGCTCTTAAGACTTTTCTGGAACTGGAAAAGAGCTGATGTGATTCCAATCTTCAAGAAACTTGGAGTTTCCGGGACCTGATGGGATCCCAGGGGAACTCTACAAGGCAATAGGAGAACAAATAGGACCCCTCCTGGTGGAAGTATATGATGAGGTTTTACTTGCAGCTAAAATGCCGGATTCATGGAGGGAGACATTGATTTCGCTGATTCCAAAGGAAGATTCAGATCCTTGACTCATACAAAACTATAGACCAATTTCTTTGTTAAGTACTGATTATAAAATATTTGCTACTATTATAGCAAATAGACTAAAAAGAATTTTGAATGAATATATACATAAAGACCAAAATGGATTTCTCCCCAACAGACAAATTAAGGAACAATCTAAGAATAGTGTAAATGTTTTTAAATACTATGAAGCCCATTCGGAAAAACAAATAGCCCTTGTATTCTTAGATGCACAGAAGGCCTTCAACAATTTAAACTGGCAATTCCTAATCCAACAAATTTACAATGTGAATTAGGCACTACATTTGAAAACATCATAACCACAATTTACACCTCACAAAAGGTGAATATCATAATTAATGGAGAATATACGCGCTCAATAAAAATAAAGAAAGGAGTTAGGCAGGGATGTCCATTATCTCCCCTGCTCTTCATACTATCTTTGGACACACTGCTTACATGAATTAGGCAGAACCCAGGAATAAAGGGGTTAAAGATTAAGAAAGAAGAATATAAATTGCAGTCATTCGCAGATGACATGGTCTTTTTCATAGAGGACCCAATTGAAGTAGTTCAAGAACTGTTGAAAGACTTAGATCAATTTGGGAAAGTCACAGGACTCAAAATTAACAGGGAAAAATGAAATTAATAACCAAAAACTTAACAGGAAAACAGAAATCAGAATTGGAAAAGGCAATGGGATTACAGGTGGTAAAAAAAATTAAATACTTAGGAATATGTCTGACAGCTCATTGTAAGACACTAATGGAAAATAACTATAACAAACTACTACAACAGGTTAAAAAAGACCTAGAGCTATGGGTTAAATTGCAACTCTCCCTATTAGGGAGGATTGCCACTATTAAAATGACCATTCTTCCTAAATTTATTTGTTCCAGACAATACCAATAAAAATACATAAAAACTACTTTGTGGAACTAAATAGGATAACCGCAAAATTTATTTGGCAAGGGAAAAAACCGAGAATAAATTTAAAAGCAATGTAAGATATGAAGAGCAGGGGGGGGTATGGCACTCCCAAATTGGGAACTATACCACAGCGCAGCCTCCTTACTATGGCTGAAAGAATGGGTAAATTTATCGAATAAAAGAATACTATTTCTAGAAGGCCATGATTTACAGAGGGGGTGGCATGCGTTCTTATGGGACATGGGGAAAACCAAACAAAATTATTTCCACAGACATGTAACTAGAGACTCTTTATTGGCTAATTGGAATAAAATAAAGAAAAAACACTATCTAAAGATCCCGATTTGGATCTCAACGATGGAGGCGATGATACAGCCGAACAATTTGGATCTTAACAAGATGATAAAATACAAAGACCTACTGGATGCACAAGGAACTTTAAAATCATGGCAAGATCTCCAAGAACAAGGGCTATGAATTGACCGGTGGGCTTACCTCCAAATATAAAATAGATATAGACAGGATAAGAAAGCTTTTGGAATTTACAGTAAGCCACAACAATGAGATAAAATCTTACTAGGTTCAGACAAAAATAATATAACTAAATTTTACAACTACTAATTTTACAAATTTTACAACTAGACGAGGAAGTAGTCAAAGGCAATATGATAGCTTGGAGTAGAAATATAGGACGTAGCATCACCTTAATAGAATGGGAAAAAGTCTGGATCAGGAATAATAAAACCACAAAATCAGCAACATATAAAGAAAATGCCTATAAAATGTTTTACAGATGGCATCTCTCTCCTTCGAGATTAGCGAAGATGTCTCCTAACATGAATCTGAATTGCTGGAAATGTAAAAAGACACACGGAACATTCTACCATATGTGGTAGTCCTGCACAGAAGCCCAAAGATACTGGCAGAGAATCAAAAAATTATTGGAGGAAATAACGGCTGAGCAGATTGAATTAAAACCAGAATTCTTCCTATTAGGGATATTCAATAGACAACTCCCAAAAAAAGCCAAATATATAATATTACACATACTTACTGCAGCTAGATTAGCTTTTGCACAATGTTGGAAACAAGCCGATATTCCATCAGAGGAAATGACTATTCAGAAAATAGTAAGCTGTGCAGAAATGGATAAATTGACCCTAGCACTTAAGGATAAAGAATCATCAGAATATTACAAGAGCTGGGAAGGTTGGTATCATTGGATAGAACAAAGATAGATAATATAATAGTAAACATTATTAAAACGTAAAGGAGGTAATAACTATATACTCACATTAAGATTTAATTGTAAATATGACACCAATAATAATAACAAATAAGGAACCACAAACTGTCGATAATGGAATTGCCTTTTATCTGTTTTTTTGTTTTGTTTTGTTTTCTCTATTTTTCTATGTTGTGTATGTGTTTGTTTATTTATTTTAATTGTATATTCAATAAAGTTTGTTTAAAAAAGAAAAAGAAACTTGGAGTTTGAAAAAAAAGCACTTGAAGGACACTCAGACTGTGAGGGACAAACTCTAAGCAAGCTTTTATGTGTTTTGCATTGAGGAGAGGCTTCCATCTAATTATTCTGCCATAAAGCCCAGATCTGTGGAGGGCTTCAGTAATGGTTGTCCTTCTGAAACTCTGTCCTGTCAGAGTGACCATTGGGTTCTTGATTATTTCTCTTACTAAGGCACATTTCCCCCGATTGCTCCGTTTGACCAGGGGACCAGCTCTTGAAAGAGTCCTGGTTGTGCCAAACTTCTTCCATTTGAGAATTATGGAGGCCATAAGTGCACTTAGGAACCTTCAGTGCAGCAGAAATTTTATTGTGGCATTGCCCAGAACTGTGCCTTGTAATAATCCTGTCTCTAAGCTTAACTTAACCCCTCACTTAACCCCTCACTGTCTTCATTCTTTTCCTCTTGGTTGTTTCCTCAGATACATTTCTCTGTTCATTGATTGCCACTTTTTAGAACATCAAAAATAATACAACAATAGCAACATAAATAAAATGGAGAACTGGAGAAAACAGTTTTGTGGTTTGCTATTTCTGGAGCAAAAACTTAGAGATTTTTTTAAAAAATACATAACTGAAATGTACAGTATGTTTCAGATGAAAAAGATAACCAATAGTGCTGTAAAAATAAAACAAAACATTTAATTGTATTAAATAAAATTGCCTTCATAGCTCAAATTATGGTTACCATTAATCAACACAATGCAAATGTAACTATAGGTCTAAAGATTAGCATAAAAGGATTAAAATAATTGTCTAGAGATAAATACAAAACAGAAAGTTTAACTAAAAGGAATTTTGAAGATAAAAAGGCTCATTTAAAATTTGAGTGGTTTTGCTTTTGTTTTGCCT